TAGGAAAAAAAATTTGCACACACTTTTGTTTGCATGCATCCATATTGATCTTGCCATGTCATATCAATAATATATACATACATTAAGAACAATGCATGATTTAAGTGTGGAGGAGAGACATAAACATTTTGTTTTTTTTTTGTTGTGTTTTGAAAAAAAATCAAAAAATTATAAAAAATTCTTGCTTTTTTGAGGTTATTTAATGATCTAGCGCTTGAATGAATATTTTGATGCTTGAAATGTGGTAATTTTTAGGATAAAAGGTGTGAAGTGAACATTATTTTACCTTGAATTAATGGATTAGAGTAGTACATTACCCTTTCATAGAAGAGGCCAAACATATGTGATTAGTTCCTTAATGATGTTATCCTTTAGAATTTGTTTCACTTCTTAATTGAGACCACATGTCTTGATGTTTTACCTAAGTTGTTTTTTGAAACTCAAGCATATGTTTTTAAATTGCCTTTTTTATTTGTGGAGCATGATTATGATTTTGAACATGATGACATGCTGGTAGTAAAGGTAGATGAGATGGGAAGTAATATAAATCCACATAGATTTGCCAACACTTAGACAAAATCAATGTTTGGCACATACTGTGAGCACCTTCCCTAATAGGGGAATTGGTATGGAGTCTAATATACATTTAGATAGCCATGCATTATTGCCTCCTACAAGAGTAACAATGTGGAGTGTGGTGAGAGTTGTGCATTACCATACTTGGTGAATGAGAGATGGTATGGAGTCCAACATAAGACACCCTCTTGGTTCAAGGAAAGGGGAGCCATCAACTAAGAATAAATGTGGTGGCTTTTGGTCGAGCTGTCCCTCATGATCAAAGAGCTTAGGATATATAAATCATATGACCTAGCCCTATTTTTATTATAGCCCATAGTCTTGGTCAATATTACAGAATAGAAGATATAAGGCGGTTAGCATTCATGTGCATATTTGTGATGGCATGCTTGAGTGTGTTGAACATGATTATTTCGTATTTGCTCCCTTTGCATGCTCATGAATAATACCCCCTGTATGAGATTGAACTAGTTATATAGTTACTGATATTTTTATCCCACCCCTGTGGATTAACATTTTATAGGAGACCACCCGAATAAGAGCAAAGGAAGACATATGGAGTTAGAGACCATTCATTGTGTAATGTCTCTAGTTGGTTTTGTGTAATTGAATCATAAATGCCAACAAGAATTCATATTTTGGTTATGCTAGCATCTTTTATTGTGGGCTAGTAATTGTGGTATTTTTAGGCCTTGATATTGTTAAGATGACTTTGTTTTATTTGAATTGGGCCAAATATTAATACAAGTATGTTTAATGTTGTATTTAGTGAAATCAAAAATAGATATATAAATTTGAGGTTGAGAAACCTCAACCCCCCTATTTATACTGAAATTTGGGGTTAGAGGGTCAAAATGATATTTAAAGGGATTTTTTTTGTTCGTGGTACATTGCATAGGTTGTCTAGGGTCTATTGAATGTGGTCTAGGTATTATGGTAGGCTTTTGGCATTGGGTTGTAGTTTTGGACACCCTAGAAGAATTTAAGCAAGAAAATAGGTTCTTTCAGTTTTGAGTGTTCAATTTGGTGATTCGTTAATGTTTGAAAATGAAAACAGTGCCATTAGCTAGGTTACTAAATAAGCTTTTCATACACACATAAATTACTTCAATTGGATGAGGGAGCAAAAAGGTATGTGCACCGGAAGTTTGTCAAATGTGTTGTCATGACAACATTATTGTCATGAAACATCCGCAACAATGGATTTGCACATTGGTGACCGCGGATTGTACCAAAATTGGCATTTTGACTCTATTGACTTGTTGTGATTTGTTTTCAACTCTATATGATTCCCATGTTTCCCAAAATCATTTTATTCTAATTTTTAAGTGTTTAAACAATCTATTAACTTGATTTGGATTTATTATAATTTTGAGATTCAATTTTCTCAATGATTTTATATTAATTATACTACCTTGAAACTTTTCAACCATAATAAACCTTTGACCTTAGTTTGATTCTTTTCTTCTATGGTGGGCATATTTTAACTATGGTAAAGACTTTTCTATCATATAAATTAATAAATGATTGGTGTTATTATTTTATACTACAGTAAAGTTTATTATACTTTTTTAAAGCTATTTCATCATGGTAGGGATTTATATAATGATATTTACATTTATATGTTAAATCATATTAACCATATAGTAGACCTTCAAACTAAACCTTTTCATTCTCTACTATAGTTAGATATTTCCAACTATAGTTGATTCTTTTCTATCATGGTCAGTTAACAGAAATTAGTTTGACTCTTTTTTTATAAACCTTTTAATTACAGTGGTAGTGTCAAGTAATGTGGTTAATGGTACAGTGGATTTTGGAGATGTTACAGCCAAAGAATTTATCAACGAAGATCTCGGCAACCATTGCAACTCATTCCTCTTCTAGGACTGAAAATGTGATGAACACAGAAATTAGGATTACTTGCAGGAAGATAGAAGCGGCATGAAAGGGAAATCAATGGAAGAAGGAATTAAGGGTGGGTTTGGGAAAGGGAAATCTTATGTAGCATTTTTAGTCAAAGTTCAATCCACATCAGCATTCTAACGGGCATTTCTTCTTGTTTAACATCAATGTGCAAGACGCCATGTTTTAATTATTTTGGGGCAAAAAAACTTCTACAACAAATAATTTAGGATATTGAATGCTCCTTGAAGAAAACTTCAGGGTCAAAAATATACTTTTATCCAATCTATTAAATATTATAGTGATCTTACTAAAGAAATTTATTTTGGGCACAAATCTTCTAAAAAAATTTTGGATTAATTATTGAATTTCTTGAATGATTTTGGAGTATTTCCCATGGATTCAATTTTTAAGCAAGAAGTCTATGGTTGTTCTTGACCTCTTGAGCTAGTCGTGGATAGTTTTTCGGTGGAAGAGTTTTTTGGTTGAAAGGTATTTAGTATTTTTATATTATAAATACATATTTTAATTAAAAATTATATGCCACTTTATTGTGTATGCCAAACATGTTTTAAAGCCACACTTCCACCTTTCTTCTTCTTCCACTTTCATTAAAATCTCTTCCATGATACTAAGCAAGGTGTGAAGGTAGAGTTCAAAGGCAAAAATAACCATTAATGCTTTTTTTATAAAAAATAATAATAATCATAGAATTTTTTTGTCATTCATAGAATTAAAATAAAGACATAATAGACAATTCAATTATTTTAAACGACAATTCAATTTTTTTATTCATCACACCTTATAATATAAGTCAACATGTTAATATATTCTAGAATATCTATTATTCTTAAAATGTATCTAATCAAGTATCATTGCAAAATGGGAATGTGCACTGAGTTGAAACAAGCATGTTGATTAACAATCATCGATTATAGATATGATAGAGAACAAAGTAATAGATCCACCCGCTATAAGAATGTTAAATGAATTAATGAAAAGTGCCATCAATAATGCTCTCGAAATGACCATATATATATATATATACACACACACATATATATGATGCTTAAGCCTGAAGTTGCCCCAACTTCCTACATGATTTTCATGAAGAGTGCAAAGGAAAGAATTGATGTAGAATACAAATTGAGTGACTCACGTGGACAAAGGCTACAACATACAGGTTTTATTTGTAATCAAAAAGTCCCTGATACACTAGCAGTGCATTTGGGAGTTTAGGATTAAATGGAGTGGATTGAAGCGGAATGGAACAAAATTTTTCATTATTTAAAAATTTTATAATCGGAAGGAATAGTTTTATATAACCATTGTTTGAGAGTTATTATAAAATGGATGAAACGGAATGAATACTTTTGTCTTCCAATATTACTCATATAACTAAATTTAAAAAAAAATAATACCCAAGAATTAAAAATAAAAAGAAAAAGCAAATAACAAAGTTATTTAAGTAAACATACCTCTTGCACAAGAGAAAAACTAGAGCTAGTAATTTAGATCGAGCCCAATGGGCCAACCCAAAAAAAGTTAAAACTGAGCTTAGCGATATGAACTTTTTTAAAAGGGTAGAATACTTTAAACTCAATTTGAATAAGTTCAACCCAAATTGAGTCCAATAGCTAGAATGTTCAACTCTATAGGCACATAGAGTTAATAATTTTGGCCAAACCTAATAGACCAACCCGAACTTGGTCAAAAAAAGTTAGGGCAAGACTTGACTATATAGGCTTTTTCAAAAGTGTAGGATATTTTAAGCCCAATTTAAATAACCTGACTTGAATTGAACTCGATTCGAATAAACCTGACCCACCCAAATTACTGACTCTAAGAAAAACGTAACAAAATCGTAGTGTTTAAGAGGGGGGAGAATGGCAAGATAATGAAAGTAATAAATGATATTATTTTTTTTATTAGGGTAGGAGGTTGGAAGTAATTTTATAAATAAAATAATCATATTATGTTATTTCATCCTTAATCCCCCAATTTAGGAGACAAAAATTTAGTTGTGGATGGCAAAGGAAGGCTTTAGAAGCTCTTTCTAGCCATTCCATCCCTTCTAAAAGGAAAACTCACTAACAATGATCTAAACCTATAGCCATTCCACCCATTTCATCCCTCCCTAAAAAAAATCTATCAAACATAAAGTAAAGTTTTATCACATTATTATGAAACCAACTGTATTGTTTAGTAAATGTTGGACTTTAAAAGGATGGCGAGAACAAAAAATTCAAGTGGCAAAAAAAATGTTAAAATGAATATGTGAACAAACAAGAAAAGATAAAATTCATAATGTGTGAAAAAGACTTAGCGGGGCATTTATTGTAAACAGTTGAAAATCATCTAAAATGATTTGAATATATTCAAAGACGACCAATGAAGGCACAAATGATAAGGGTGGAACAGACAACCTGAATCCCATGAAGAAATAAAGACCAAAGTAAAACTAAAATTTAGGTTGGGTTGTCTGTTATATATCCAAACAAAAGGAAAAAGGTAGACGGTTGAAGACTTCAAATCAAATATATTTAAAACTAAAATTTTATACTGAAAGTACTTGAATTTTGATATATACAATTTGGGACCTCGAGCTGATATTTTTGTCATTACATTCTTCAAGACAATTTCAAAATTCAAAACCCCTAATGTAAAATAACAAGATTATTTGGGATAAAATGAAACTTCCTCTTTCTATTTCTCTCTTCAATTTTGGATGGAACATACTGCCGACAAGTCCCTTCACTTCACTCCAGAATAAACCATCGCTTACATTTGAATTTACATTGCAAGAAGCAGCTCATTATCTTGTGACTCACCAATGCAATATCTCCTGGCTTTTTTTGTCCACAACGCTCAGACAAAAATACGGCAACAGAGTAAATTCTTGACATGAAAAGACCCAAAAATGTGGAGTTGCCAGAGGATTCTTTTTAGTACACCTAAAGAGTCTAGGACAAGACCCAGATGAGAATCTAGACTCCTTATGCCTCTGCCAGTTTCAAGCGGGGAACAATATTCATTGATTGAAGCTCCTGAAAGATTTGAGAAACAGATATGGCAGATTAACAAATGATAAGAGCAGACAAAAGGTTAACAAAATAAAATCCTCATAGCACATGAAGATTGTCCAGAGACACAAGATGATATATTGATATCTACTACCAAATAATGCACTACCTCCTCCGTTTCAAATATAAGGCATTTTTTGAAAACTATTATGTTTAATACTCCCTCCAGTCCCTGCCATAAAACGCCTTCTAAAAAATTATTTGGTCATTAATATAAGATACTTAATGAGGTATTAATTACATTTTTCCAATACTACTTCTGTTTAAAATCAAACATGTGAGAGAATGTAATATAAATTTGAAAAATTTTAATTTCAATGGGAGTAAAACTGGATGTTTATCTATTTTTAGATAAAGTTAATAACTTAATCACCTTTTCTTAATTCCAGCGAGGTAGTTAGAGCAGCTTTACAATAGGGAAAGGAGGGAGAACAAGGCATTTTACAAATTTTGAAGACAATTAATTAATAACTCTTTACCTAAAATACCCCAAATAGTATATTGAAATTACTTTATTATGTTTCATTAGTAGGGCCCCTTCTCCGTTCGTTAAATAAAGGCACAGTTTAAAAAAAGAAAGAAACAACTACGAAACTGTTTTAATTTTCCTCATGGATACGAGTTAGGTAAAAGTGCCCTTATATTGGATAAGGAGGCAATAGCAAGGTTCAGAAGATTCAAAACTTTGGACATGCTTGTGGGAAGCATATAATATACCTGTATCAAGAGCTTGCAAGCATATGGTAGTTTCATAGTAGAAATATTATCTCCATTTTTACAAAATGAACAAATTCCAGTTTTCAGCTTATGGTGGTAATACCCTAACATGCCACACTTTCTACAGACCTGTGTCAAAAGACAGGTATCAATCAGACAAATTGCATATGAACCATAATCCTTTCTATAATAAGTATAACAAGGTCACAATAAGAGATTTGCAATTCAATGAATACCAACGTAAGCACAAAGGGCCTGACACTTCTAGATGGCGAAATGGATAAGAGCAATCTTAGAAACTCACAATCAACCAAAGTTCGTGAAATTAAATTTAAGTCAGGCCAATAGCGAAATTGTACTAAAACAGCGCAAGAAAACATAAGATAGGCTGCATTTAACATTTAGGTGTTACCTTTTTTAATTTGGGTATAATTCAAGCTTGTCTATGGGACATAAATCATACATATTGGCCCTTGTTAGCAGCATAAGCACAAACGTCCAAAGAAAAAATATTTTGTTAAATTTACAAACATATAACAACTATTACAAATAATACACCACTGACTGATTGGCTTGTGAGACAATAGAATATGGGATTTGATGTTTGCTATTTATGAAAGCAAGGCTGTTCATGACACAAAATATGAAATGACAGCATTACTGTAAGCAATTACTATTTTAAAAAAATTACGAAAAAAGTTTAACTTAGAATTGCACCAGTATTAGGATGATCAAAATATAATAAAATATGTCAAAATGTATGCATACAATAACATAAAAATAGCACAGGAGTTGATTACCTGAACTTCAAAAGGATCACTTGATAACATAAGCCTCTCATAAATCAACATACTAGCACCATAAGCAATCAAACAATCACGTTCCATTTCACCAACCCGTAGACCTGAAGATGGATTAATTATAAGTAGAAGCAAGTCAGACTACCATATATTGATGCCTTTATTATTGGTATCTTAATTATTTTTAGTATCTTCACCCTAGCCACTATTTACATGTTATATTCTGGATCAAGTATGATCTTCAGATAGGATGACCTCTCAGAAAGGCGTGAGAATTGGGAAGGCTGGGTTCACATTGTCTGGATCAGGGTTACCCTGAGAAACGAATACGGTTGCCTTTTGCAAGTATTAATTATTGCCAAAGACATAAAGAATAGAATTTTAGTCCATACATAAACAAATAAAGCCTTGAATGGGATTTTGCTAAGGCTAAAGCTTAGGTTGCTGAGGCAGTAAATTTAGATTGCCTCTCCTAGTAAAATTATGGTTATTGAGTCGCCTCTAAAAGCATCATGTCTATTTAAGTATTCCTTCTTTTATCATTGAATTTGAACATTGTCATCAAGTGTTTATCAGGTTATTCTCTTCCGTTATCCTTTCCCTATAAACAATGAATTCAACAATTCTACAAAAAGGACAGAGTCAAAACCTCCATTCCTGGCCCTCCCTTCTGTAGGCTGTCGAGTCAGCATGACACGTGGACCATTTCCTCGAGCATGCATCTTATCGAGCACCTAAACATCACCACAGATCTTGCTTTTAAAATCCCAGCAAATTTTATTCACATGAAATGCAAGGAAATGTGAAGTAATATAGACGAAATATTAATAATTCCAAGATTACAATATTACTTGATCAACAAAAAAATAAAATAATTTCTCAGGTAAAATACATTTTTAATTAGATAATATCCTTTTTCATTAGACAATCTTGTTATTATGGAACTTCACACTCACCATGTGTTTTAATTTCTGGTAGTAAATAGGCCCCATAAAAATATATGCTTGCAATGGGCAACCCGTAATACCTGAAGAGAAAAAAGGTGAATCAGGAACTTCAATTATGGACAACTAGCCAAAGGCAACTAAAATTGCTGGAATAAAGCTTCCAACTTTACGGACTCACGTAAATGATATTTTCATTTTAACACAGTTCACAGAAGCCAAAAAGATTAAAGAAATAATAAAAAGACTTATTTTTTGCAATAAAGCTTTTCAACCTCTACATATTCTACAGGGACATCTCTTTAATAAACCATCTTTTGAAAAAACGCCAACGAGAAGCCACAAAATAACACATGGCAAAAGTGCCAATCAGATACATTAATGAATCTAACCTGATATTGGAGTGTGAATTGTGGTATATCAGCAGTTTTATTAAACAAAAAGCCAAAAATACTGTCATAGATAACTTATTGCATAGATGATAGCTCTGAGAGAAACCAAAAGGAAAACCTGAATAAATGAAGTCTTTCCCGCTGTAGTTAAAGCCATGCTTCACAAGAGTTTCACTGCCACAGATAATGAACTTTGAGAATACAGATGTGTATAAATGATAAAGGCTACACCATAAACAGATAAGATACCTTATAGTTTCAACCTTGTCAGCATGGCCACTTCTTTCTCCAAATGCGCTTCCATAATGGAACCTGCCACATGAAACCCCTGCCTTTCCTCCAAGCAGCTCTATCATCTTTCCAACTGTCATACGACTGATACCATAAAAAAGGTAAGACCAATAATTAGCAATAATATTACAAGGACATTATTCCATTTACTGATAAGATGGTTTTGATGCTAAAAATAAGAGATGTCTCAATGTTAAACATTGCAGCCAGAAAGAGAAATCACATACATTGACAGCAAAATTTTGCCAAACCACAAGCAGCTGGAAACAAAATGACTACTTATAAAAGGAAGCTACAGCATTTGCTTGAATAGTGCCAATCAATTCAGCACACTACTTGTTGAACTTACGCCAAACTAGAAAGCAATTTTATCACGCCCAATTCATAGCTAGTCTCAAGTATCATAGTTTTACAAAGAGTCTGAAACCCCCACAATGCACTATATAAGTCATACACATTTGACCAAACAGTCTCACTGCCTATGGATATATATATTTACATGCATACATCATATTTAGCATTTTGGTAGGATAAATTTTGGCTAAAATGATTAAGAATTCTACGCCTATGAGAATTCATGCAGATATTGCATTTTTGCTTCCATTTACAGCAAAGCAGGAAATTGTGCGTAGCAAAATAAAAGCCTACATAACATAAGTATCCACCCACAGATAGGCAAATAACTTTCCTCAAAACATTTTAGCTGTCATGCTTTACAAATCAATATTTTCAATCATATTCCAAATTTGGGGCTGGACATTGGGTTAGAATCAAAACATAAGTCATGAGCCCTTCAACAGTAATGTGACCTTAGGGTGTAAACAAACCGATCTGTTCATGAACTGTTGACTCAAAAAAAAAAAAAAAAGTTCAGCTCAATTATTAAATAAATAAGCTTTAATCAAAATATTAAGCTTGTTTGGTTAAACGATGCATGCTCAAGAATTGATGTTTGCTTCATCATGCAACTAAGTAGTTTGTTATAAAAGTACTTTTTTCTTTAGATAAAGTAATATAAATATATATGATTTTAAAGATTATATTGCCTCGCAATATATATTTTTATAGAGTTTTCTTAGACTCACACATGCATGATATAAATATTCATAAATTTAACTTTATGAGCATATATTCATCATATTCATACTATGATCAAGAACTTTAAAACAGGTCAATTAATGAACAAGTCTGAAAGAAAAATTCTGGCATTTAATTAAAACCTGTGCTCAAAGTTAGGCTTTCCTTTGTTTCACCAAAATAGTAATAACCAATACCCTGATTACTTTCTAGCTCAGGGGTCAATAACATCCTGATTCTTTCAGACCTATGTTCAAATGAAGGGCATGAGCTAACTATTCCTTTAACTATCAAGTTGTACCAATTTGTACGTTAAGAGCCCATTTCAGTATTAATTTAGGGAATTATAATTTTATAGTTTGTCCAAAGATAAACCTGGGCAACAGAAAATTGCTTCCTGGAGGAAATGTAGAAATGGACTGGCTGGAACAAAATTTGTGGCCATAATAAAGTAGCCTTCCAACTTGGTGGTAGAAAAATAACTTTGCACTTTCTATGATGTCATTGTGATGCTAAACATGGGAAAAGAGAATAAGGAGGGGGGTTAAGAGAGCAAAAACAGAACTTCATTCATGATCCCAATATAATGCCTTATTCTGATATATCCAAATACAAAGGAATGCTAAAATAGGTGAACCCTCTGTTACAGGTTTGTAATTCTGAATGAAAGCGAAAGAGAGGCAAAGAGAGAGAAAGAGAGACAGAAGGAGCTTAGAAGAGAAGTTTCTGAATAGTGCCTGAATAATTCTCATTCCAATGAAATCATATCATATCCGAAATATGATAGGTATCCCTCCTATTTATAGCTTCCCTCTATCGGCTACCCTTAGCTAACTAATTAACTACAATTAGCGTCATTTATTTCCTAATTACAATTTATATCACCCTCATTCTAAATTAATTGTGATACCCAAATAATCCATATTTATTAAAAGCCCTTACATATCCAATTGTTCCTCGGATCAGATCTGCCTCATTTACAGCCATATGGCAAACAGCATGATATGTCAAAAGAATTTGGAGAAGTTTCCACACAGCTTTCGGCCAACCATATTAAAGAATATGACTTGTGGATGAATCATGTTACCTAGGAAATCCATGAGGATTCATAATCAGATCAGGACAAATGCCACGCTCAGAAAACGGAAAGTCTTCCTGCTGGACAATTGTTCCACAAACACCTTTCTGGCCATGTCTGCTGCTAAATTTGTCACCAAGCTAAAGCAACAAAAATAGAGAGAGAATTAAATAAGAAACTTCAAAACAAGTAAAAAATCCCCACAACAAAACCTAGAAGTATTTACCTCTGGCCTACGAGTATGACGGATCAAAAATTTGATACACATGTTGTTATTTTTATCAGAGCACAGAACCACTCTATCCACTACACAAGTTTCTCCTTCTGGACCTTTGAATGTTTGTATACTAGGCCGATATGCACTGGCAGTGAGAAAACAAAAAAATATTGGAGATTACACATCAAGCAGCATGACATTAGAGGGAGCCCCCTTAGATACCAAAATTTGAACTCAGTTCAAAAACTAACCTATCAGGCAAACTTGCAGCAGATCCCATCCTTTGTGTCTTTGTGTTGATAGGGGATTGTTTATTGATATATATGTCATTTGGCCTTATAATTTCCCCAGGTGCAGCTAGCCCATCATCATCAAGTATCTAGAGAGAATAGGAAAATATCCAACAGCATAAGAAAATATCCAAATCAACATAGATTCAATCTGATAATATGCCACAGAAAATAAAGGAATAAAAAGCCTCAGAAACTTGTTTTTGAGCATATGGGCAATAATATTTTGCTAGCAAATTAATTACAGCAAAGTCCATGATAGGAAAAGCCTGATGGTTGGAACCACTTGCTGTATGTGACAGATTTAGGCTGGAAGATAAGTAGCAAGGTGAAATTAGCCTCACAACATTTTATTAAAGTCAGATAGAAGTTTAACTTCAATCACCCATCGAATAATCAAGAGACTGTCAACAGGCAATCTCTGCACGCTTATGGATGGGAAGGCAGGAAAGGAGATGGCTGAGTACAGACCATATTCATTTGGCATTGTTTCATGGTTCGGGAACATTGGAAATGACAAGAGGTCAATTGTATTGGAATGTATAAGAACATGCTACCCAAATACAAATACAACCAACCACAGCAACTGTATGCTTTACGTGAGGATAAGAGATTCAAACATATCCCTTTTTCTTTCCCCTCCAAATCCCCAAGCACATTGAAAATGCTTTGGGGACTAATTTGGCAATACTGGCCAAGTAGCGAAATGTTTTAAGAGAAATTGCCATCTGATTTTCTTTCCAATGAGATAATATGAGTCAAAAGGCACCACTTTTTTCTAGGGCAAGCAAAGATACTCATCCAAGATGGTTCCCAGTGCTAATTTTTGTAGATAGAGAAGTTTCTTCAGAATTATTAAGTTGCCCAATGGGGATCTCAGAGACGAAATTTACAAGGATGTGCCTCTTAGCTTGACAAATTCAATAACAACTTAGTGTACAGATTACAAAAATCTCTACATGGACTCGTGCAATCCATGAGAGCTAGCTTTGGAAGAATTATTAAGGCTATAAAGAAGCTTGGTTTTACACAATGGCAAGCAGATCACATCCCTTTCCTCAAAGTATCAGAAGATAACATCACTATTCTCATTGTTTATATATAGGATATTATTACATCAGGGAGCAATGAAGACACTCACCTCAAGAAAGTACCAGGTAAGGATATTTTTTAATTAAAAACTTGGGAGCTTTAAAGTACTTTACATGCATAGTAGCTCAATACAGCAGAGGGATATATATAATTATAAATATATATATACATATACACCCCAAGTGAACAGGATTTTATCAAGAGAAAAATTAGAAACAGAATCGTTGAGGTACACCTATATAAAAACAAATAGATATTGTCCTAACTAAAGCTATTCCAAGAGCTGAGTTTCATGTTTGCTCATCAAAGTATACTTGACACATAATCCCAAACTTCAGCAGGAGTGCAGAATTATTAAGTTGTATTTTATTTCTTTATTTTTTTTTATTTCGACTTTATTGAAGATAACTTAGCTCCTGGGATACTATTGTATATCTTCTAAGCTTTAGGGATACTATTGTACATTCCTCTTAGCTCTATCCCTAGCCCTTCACCTAGTCAAGCATCAAAGCATTTAGTCACAGAAAGAATACATTTATCTGCCTCTTTTCTATGACCGCTCATTGGTTTCATCAAAGGTTCAGCCTAGAAGCTGATCCTGCTTTGGATTATTGGAACTTCTAAATAAGCATTGACCAACAGCATTACCAAATTTTGAACTATTCTGGACGAATAGAACATATGGAGTGGTGCAAATTGACAGATATCCCTATGAATAAAAAGCTCTGTTTTGTGGATCTCACAACACGTTTTCTCCAAGAAATTTGGTATCCAAAACAATTCTTGGATCACAACATATCACATACAATAAATATAGGCAATATAACCTACATACACAGTATTATCAATAGAAGATAAATTGCCATTAAAGCATGTTACCTGCATACGCCCTGCATTATCTGCAGTTCTATATCGGGCCTAAGTATCCTATCTGATGTGTTATTATCATATTTTTGATTAATAGCAGTGTACCTATACATCAGGAAATACCATGGCATAATCACCTTAGATGAATGATAAAAGAAATACAGCAAAACAGCGCCCAAACCACCACCAACAACAACAAGAAGAAGCATTTTATCCCACTAGCTAGGGTCAACATAAAGTGCAAAATCACCAAACGAAATTATTTACTTTTTCATAACAATACAACGGCCAAAACCACGATCAAGAGATGCCTTGTTCATGACAATTGCATCCTCTATGTCATAACCACTATAGCTCATAACAGCCACGGTGGCATTCTGGCCGGCTCCAAGCTTATCATACCCAACCTGAAAGAATTAGGGATTAATAACAGCCCTTTGTTCGAAGAACTTAGAGGAAACAATATACCAACCAGCTCAATTGTCCTTGTAGTTAGCAGGGTCGTTGAGGATAACAAGTAGGTACAACAAGGTGTCCATCCGGCACAGCTACAAGAGTAACATAAGATGCAAAGAAAATTCAGTTAATAGCATACGTTGAGAATGTCAATTTTTGCAGAGTAACATAACATGCAAATAAAAAGAGGTATGCTCTTGCGTCCTTCATATTTTTATTCTTGTTGGCTTGCTAACACGATTTATTTTTATCCTCCAGTTTTGTCCTCCTTTTGTCCATTTATTTTTCCAACAATAAAAAGCCAAGCCCTCAATATATGCATAAGTAAATGCATGACAAAAAATCAACAACAGATTGGTTACTATTAGCATCCCTTCCCCGTTCTGAAAGTTTGATTACTTTAATCCATTAGAAGTGTGTTTTACTATTTATTTTATTTATTGAGCCAATTGTCAAATAAGTTAAATCTCAGGGACACTGTTGTACATCCTCCTTGGCTCTGGGGGGTACTATTGCAAATTCTCTTATGACTTGAGCATTGAACATGGGTCCTTCTCACTTGTAAAAGCATCAGATTCATATCAAAGAAGAGTATATTTTCCATTTCAGTTTCAGATCAATTCACAAAATCATAAGGAATTCAAATCTTGATTCATGTGACCAGGATCTACGTACTTGCATGAACACACATATTTACTTGCATAAAAAACAAAGCCACAGTACTTGCATGACCACACATATTTACTTGCATAAAAAACAAAGCCACAGAAAACTTGTTAAACTATTAAAAAAAAGTCCTAAATTTATACAGTTGGTGCACAAAAGCATGAAAAAAAATTTCTTGCTAACACGATTTATTTTTATCCTCCAGTTTGTCCTCCTTTTGTCCATTTATTTTCCAACAATAAAAAGCCAAGCCCTCAATATATGCATAAGTAAATGCATGACAAAAATCAACAAACAGATTGGTTACTATTAGCATCCCTTCCCCGTTCTGAAAGTTTGATTACTTTAATCCATTAGAAGTGTGTTTTACTATTTATTTTATTTATTGAGCCAATTGTCAAATAAGTTAAATCTCAGGGACACTGTTGTACATCCTCCTTGGCTCTGGGGGGTACTATTGCAAATTCTCTTATGACTTGAGCATTGAACATGGGTCCTTCTCACTTGTAAAAGCATCAGATTCATATCAAGAAGAGTATATTTTCCATTTCAGTTTCAGATCAATTCACAAAATCATAAGGAATTCAAATCTTGATTCATGTGACCAAGGATCTACGTACTTGTATGAAAACACATATTTACTTGCATAAAAAACAAAGCCACAGAAAACTTGTTAAACTATTTAAAAAAAGTCCTAAATTTATACAGTTGGTGACACAAGCATGAAAAAAAAATTTCACCTGATTGTAAGCAATATTCCCCATAGCTTGTTTTCCCATTGCACACTACAGTCACCAAAAAGAATATATCTCAGGATATAAGAGAACAGGCCTATAATGAGTTTATTTCAAGAGCGAAAGAGAAAAAAGGGACAAGATAAGGTGAGGAAACCTGATAAGTGTTTCGGGGTGACTGATTATGATGAGGATAAGGAATCAGCCCTGCAATAACCCCTAAGATGGTGAAAGGCTCAATTTCAATATGAGTAGTTTTGGTGTAGCATCCCCTTCATATAAAGCAATCTAAGACATTGAAAGAAGGCAGCACGAATCAGTTTCATTAACCAGATTTTATGACTAAAAGAAGCAACAAGTAGTTAGAGAAGAACAAACCAAAGCATTGTTTTCCTCATTAACATCAAGATACTCAATCAAACCATCACGTAAAAAATCATCAAATGTACGCACTCCATCCTGAAAAAGCATGAAATATGAATTCATATGAGCAACTTTCTTCCAACAATAGATGTTTTAAATAAACTTACCATTAACTCCTTCATATGATGCTCTTTGACTCTAGATATGCCCTTATCAGCAATGACAAGTGGACGACAAACTCTACCGCCATCAGAAGCTAAATAAACACACGCTAAAAATAAAAATTACAATCATATCAGTTTTCCTTTTGCATCGACTAGAAAAGTACCTTGTACAAAACCAAGGATCATTCAAGAAAACATGGGAAGTAAAAAAACACCATATAAAGCAAGAGAGATGTTATAGTTTTATAATTATGACATATTACTCATGGTTTTATGAGTCAATTATATGCGTTGATTTAAACATTAGTTAGTTGGGATATAGCCATTGGGGTAGTGGATGACTTGAAGCCTATATATTTGAGACATTTGAGTTGTAATCTTATCCTTGTGATCAGAAAAAGCTATTATCCAGCATTTCCCTATGTTTCTCATTTCTCTCAACCTGTTCTCCTTAACTCTCTCAATTCCTCTCTGCCCCTTGTCTATCTTCCTGTTTCTTCTCTCATATTTCCCTATCTCCCTTTAATTCCTATCAGTCCAGATTATTTCTGCATATCAAGAGATGTGTAGGAATACCTTGTACAAGATATATTAGGAATATCTCTTAGATTTTTCAATTATCCATTTTCCCATTTAATCTTGTTCCTATCCTATCTTGTTTCCCAGTTTATTTGATTTCCTGTTTTGTCTAGTTTCTTTTTTGTTTGATTCTCCCCCATGGTGAGATTGAGCATCTGATATCCTGTGGCTGCGTGCCACATATATATATTTCTGGTATGATGAATGAAATATCAAACAAAATTTCCAGAAATCCACATTATCATTATCTTCAAGGGATTATATTACAAGTAAACATCACTTTAGAATATTATAAATAAAAAAGGTATCAGCAGCTGAAGTGAGCGTTTTTCTTCAGCACCTAGGTTCAACCCAACCATACCTTTGGTTTAACACTAAGACAACAATAACAAATAAGAGACAGCAAGTAAAGCAAAGATGAGATTAGGCCCAAAAAAAAAAAGCAAAGATGAGAAGGGAATTCAAGGAGTTGTTTAAAACTGTTTTTATTTTATTATTCTGAAAACTGATGTTTTATAGAACATGTTCTAGAATAAAAAAATAATAAAAATGGGTGTTTTCTCATTCTCCCTTATTCTTCAAAAACAATAACACAAAACACTTAAAAGTTATTTCATTTTTCTGTTCTCCAGAATAATATTTTATTTTTTTGTTCTTCAAAACACTTTTTAAAAACACATTACCAAATAGATTTTTTTGTTTTCTTGTTCTGGAAAACAAAAAACTGTTCCTAGAACATGTTTCCAAACAAGCCTAAAAGTTCTTAGTTTGATAAAACCAATGGCAATAACCACCTCTCTTTCCAGATAATGGGGATGGCTAGAGGATATCACTACATCATTGATAATAAGATCCTACAAACGAAGTAGTATCAGATACCAAAGTCTCCTATTGAGTAGTAAATGATGCTTTATGGGATGTTTAAACAAAATAAACACTCCCACTTCATGACTCTTTGCCACACTTAGGTGCTCATAAGATACACAGCAATAGGTGCTCATAAGATACACTACAAAATGGCAGAAACAAAGACAAACAGATTAAAAAAAACTGTAGCATTTACCTGCTTTTCATTGACAAAAACACTTACAAACTCGCCAATTTTTCCAGCCCTCCTCAACTTCTCATCGCAGAAAACACCTTGAAAAGAGGAAAAATTATGATGGTTATGCCAGTGATAGCTTTACAGGAATAACAGTGCAAACACATGCATGTTTGCCTACATTTAAAAGAGAAAACTTCTGCAGAAACTGAGATACCTGTGGCCTCCGATGCTTGCCAAGTATCAGCCCATTAAAAATAACAAGAAAAAATTTGGTTGTGGGAGCTTTCCCCAGAGAGCAATTCCAAGTCTTCAACACCCAAAGAATAGCACTGCCACGAAATAATTAAGCCTCAGAATGTATGGCAACCCAACTAAAACAACGTATCATGTGCCTACACTCTTGCCCGCACATATAAGGATACACCGTGACAGAGACAAATTTCAAACAATCAAAACAAAATAGAAGGGCACACACACATCCCACACTCTAGAAGAAACAATTACAAATATAAAAAATTCTTGGATTAAGATGAAATTTTGCCCTTAAACTATTCTCGAATGGGCAATGTTGCCTCTAAAATATTCACCATAGCCATATTGCCCCTACACAAATCAAATCGGAGCAATGTACACCTACCGTTTAAAAGTCCGTTATTGTAGCTAGTGAGACCCACTTTTCATGAGCTATAGTACAATTTTGCCCCTAAACTATTCCCAGAGGAGTAATGTTGCCCCTAAATAAAAAATAGAGTTTCTAATATATAAATGCATCTATAAAAATAAATATAAGAAAAAATATAAATTATAATTTTATAACTTGTCAACTATAAGTGGATCTTGATTAAATTAGATATGAGTATATTCAAAGTACTTGTACTTACACCTATAACTATCAACCAGAACTGTCATTAACTATTCGATTTGGACCAAAAAAACCATTTTCATGATTGAGCTGGATCAGACAAGAGTTAAACCACTATTAAGTCAGAAACTGAAGTTAAATTGGGAACTGGAGTGGTTTTCAAAAAACTGGATGGTTTTAAACATAATATTAACAAAAGCTTTAAAAATTTAAAAAATAAAAAAATTCAAAAATTAGATCCTACTAAAAGCCAACTTTATTTTTAACAATTCACATGTATAAAAATATGATTTGAGACCATTCTTTTTTAAAAAGATTGATAGTTATAACCAAAATTCACTTGTATTTGACGAGTTATAAAATTATAGTTTATATTTTTTTCTTATATTTATTTTATATAATTTTGATATATTTTTATTTAATATTATTATAATTTTATTTTTATATATACATTTAATATTATTTATTTAATATTATTATAATTTATTTTTATTAATTTTATGATTTTTAAAAGGTGAGGGCAATATTGCTCTTCTAGGAATAGTTTAAAGGCAATACTACACCTTAACTCATAAAAAGTGAGCCCCACTAGCCACAGTAACGGACGTTTTAAACGATAAGGCAACATTGTTTGATTTGATAATTTAGGGACAACATTGCTACAATGAATAGTTTAGGGGCAACATTACTCCTCCGATAAATAGTTTAAGAGCAAAATTATACCTTAGCCCAAAATTCTTTGCAAAAAATAAAATAAAATAAAAATTACATATTGCAAATATGAAAAGTTCTTTACAAAAGGAAAAAAAAAAAAAGATAAGGAATTTATTAGAAGAAACATACCAGAGAAATTAAGGGGCCCTCCTCTTCATCAGTAGTAACATGAGTCATCAAAGCCAGGTTTTTCACCAGTCCACAAGCCTCACCTTCTGGAGTATCGCAGGGACAAAGCATTCCCCACTGTAGCGAAAGGAATAGAACAAAAACGGAGGTATGAGTCAAAAAGTAGAGAAGCATTTGTCAGAAGTTTGTCCAATGGATAAATACCCAGAAACAATGTGGCTTACCTGGCTAGGCTGCAAAGCTCTAGGTCCACTTACTTTCCTGGATTTCTCGAACTGTGGAGAGATTCTTGTCACATGCCCCAAGGTCCCTATAAATGATAACCTAGCTAACACCTATAAATAGAGAAAATCACACCAGTCAGAATGTATCATTGCATTGATGGCCTAGAGCCAAGACATGATAAAGCAACCCTATCCCCAGCATTTAAGCTCTGGCCAAAGACAAAAACTCCTTCAGTGATTTTATTGCCAATAAATATGAGAAGATGAAAGAAGAAAATTTGTTAAGAAAGGAACCTGGGTCATCCCTTTTCTGTGCATCTTGAACCTTTTGACGTCAAAATTACCAGTGGAGAGAGTCCTCTCCAGACCATTTGTGATAGTGTCTATAGAAATATACTATAACACACAGATATTAGGTGTGCAAAATGTAAGCAGAAATCCAGGCAACGAGATCAGGGTGAACACAAAGTATAAAACAAGAAGTCCAAAAAAAAATGACGCAATAACACAAGTCTAATTTTGTCATGTAAAAAACATAGTAATTTCTAACTTTGAGCCTTAAAACAATTCCTGAAGAAAGATTTTAAGATCCCAATAGTTGCAAACATATATAAATATATATTCACATGATAAACTTAATAAAAATCACAAATGAACAACAGCTGATGTGACATCTTTATTTCCAATCGTTTGAATCTTTTCTTGAAAATATAATTTTATTTCATCATTATTAGATCTTATATTTACAAGTAAATCAGTTTTGGCAATCCAAAGATGAGCCCCTTGAGGAGTGAATTCGATTAATATTGCATAGGTTACACTTTGCATTTGATAATGCTCAATCATAGATATTAAAGAGAGCTCACTTGACAAAAGTTAAAGCGGCTAGTCTTGTTCTTCTCCAAGGCTTTATCAGCCTTTGTCCTAGCTTCACTCATCATCGTCTTGAAAAGATCCTTAAAAAAATAAGAGCAAAACAGTTAAGTCAGCGAAAGTGCGCAAAGCACCTTCAAACAAAGAAGTACAGAAGCAAAATGAGATGTTACCTCAAAAAGAAGAGATACCAATTGGCCAGATAACTCCAGCCGTTTGTTCCCCACATAATCCTTTAAAATAAATTAAATGAAACATTTAGTAGATATAGCGCATATTGATCACGCCCACACATACAAATGTACACAAACCACACAATAAAAGTGGGCGTCATTTACATTTTTGGGATGCTCATGAAATGACTAATTAATTGGACAATTCATGTGATCATTCAAGCTGAATGCATTAGTTTAGATGAAAAGTGAGGTTGCACTTGTTTCAGTTTAGTGTATGTTTTGAAAAAACTTCATAAATGTGAGGATCCCTTGTGACTAATGAGGATCAACAAGATGTGGAGAATCTTCAAATCTGGCATAATCCAGATAATGATTACAGACCTACCATATCATCTTCCCTATCTCCATCCCTGACGTTTAGCAGTGTCCTCTTGTTTCTTTTTCCTTCTTTTTTTTCCCACTTCAGCCATTGGGCACTTATTGCCCAATAATCTTGTTATTTACTTAATTCATAAGCTCAATGCCCAGATTAATAGAGATATTTCAGAATACTTTCAATACCATTTGTCAATGACACTCAACTGCTTGTTGAATGCCAATAAAAAAAATTATAATAATCCCCGATACAAAATACACCCCTTGACACCAATGTCCTTTAGGCATTGTGCACAAGAACCAACCCCTATTGATCTTGTAATATTTAAAGCCTCCTCTGCAAAATCCATTGACCTTGTGCTAAAATATCAAGCTAATTATGAAGCATGGGAGTAGCAAGCATCAAACTCCTGACCGCTGGCTCATAGAGGCCTATATACCATGTCAATAACCATTTCGACACAATACTATGCAATTATGTAAAGGCACATAAATATTTTTTATTGCAAACCTTAAAACCAATCCTCCTTCACTGAAACACATCTCATTCATGAAGCACACGTAACTAGGCTCTAACTACTCTTATATTATTATGTAAAACAGAACCTTTTCTTTATTGACTTTATATAGTACACATATTAAGAAAGATATTACCTTGTCATCCATCGTATCCTTGTTTAGAATAGCATCCATCATGCGTCTGATCATAACAGCAACATATATACATTTTGGTCTAAAATTATTTTGACGCACCTAATGGGGGGGAACAAAAGCAGAAGCTTAGATCAGTCCCAACAATAAAGACCAACTATAACAACCCTCAATTGAGTGAAATCAACTTACCGGTACATTTGCAAGAAATACATCTCTCAGGACACAGTATGCTCTGCCATCCTATATAAAAGGTTCAGATTGACATCACAAATTAAAAAAGTCAAACCTATCATATGATACTGTCAAGTGCATAAATGCATCATTTAAACAATTCTATCTTCTGTTTGTGTATGTGTCAAGACAGAGATTCTGATGTGAAGAGCTAGATAGAGAAGAGATAGGAGAGAAATAGGATAGAGAAACATAATATTATCTCCAAGTTGCATGGAGTTCCAGTAGAAATCATAAGTGATAGAGATCCTATTTTTATAAGCAATTATTCGAAGGAATTCTTGAAGGTTTTGGGGATTAAACAGAAGCTAACTTCCTCTTATCACCCACAAACAAATGGTCAATCCAAGCTACCTAATAGATGTTTGGAGAATTACTTCAGTTGTATGTGTTGGGAAAAGCCAACAGATTGGGAGTAAGTGGCTATCCTTGGCTGATGAATGGTGGTACAATACTTCTTTCATACTTCAACTAATGTTATTCCTTATGAATTGTTGTACGGACAACAACCACCATGCATGTGCCTTGTCTACCTAGAGATGTGACCATGGAAGCTGTTGGCAGGTTATTTTCAGCAAGAGAGGAAGCTTTGGGAATCGCAAAACATCATCACAATAGGGCTGTGAATACAATGAAGCAGAGGGCAGATTTGCACAGGCCTGATAGGGAATTTGAAGTGGGCCAGTGGGTTTTTCTTAAGCAGGCAACCTTATAGGCGGATTTCTGCAGCTTCTAGGAGCTTTCAAAAAACTAGCTCCAAGGTATTTTGGATCCTATAGAATCACTCGAAGGGTAGGTCAAATTGCTTACAAAGGAGAGTTACCTCCAGAATCAAGGGTTCATCCTACTTTTCATATCTCTTTGCTAAAGTTATGCCCTGATCGTTCAGTAAAATAGAGGCATCTGCCATTAGATTGGCCTGAACCTCCTCCAAATTTGGTGCCAGAGAAGATTTTGAATGAAAGAATGGGCAGAAGAGAAAGGGCAGAATCATCATGAAAAGTCATGGTGCAGCAGAAAGGTCTTCCAGATGAAGAGGCCAGCTGGATTTCACTTTTTCAGCTGCAACAACAGCATCCAGACTTCATTGTAATAGACCCTTGAGGTCAAAGGTTTTTGAACGGGGTGTTGATGTGTAATTCGTAATTAATAAAGATAGTTAGTTAGTTAAGACTGTTAGCAGAAGAAAGGTATCAGGTTAGCATCTATATATATGTGAAGGGTGTGTCATCTGATTTTCTTGCTATGCTTAATGAAATAATCAGAGTACTATTTAGTCATCTCCTTCTCTCTCTGTTTCTCTATCCTATTCTCTCTTCTTCCTCTCCTCTTTCTACTACTACACATCAGATTCACTAACCCTTTCAGATGAATCGCTTGCAAACATGGACTTCTTGACCTGAGCAGCAACATAACAAGCATCAGATTAATAAGAAAAACAAGTTAAGCACATATGTTAAAAAAAAAAAAAAAACACTGAAAGAGTCATACAGATTAAAATCGGCAACTCCTTTTACACCGGAACTTTAAGTAGACTACCTAACAATTGTGCATATGATGTTATCTTGGTAAATTATCAGCAAGTAAAAGAAGATAATATTGTAAGGAGGATTAGAAATTCCTGCATCTTCAATGGCATCTCTTTATCCCTTTGTTTTATTTAAAGTAATATATGGTTGCATTTAATGCTTACGTTGGCCACTTCCTACGCTCATGGTTATTTTGGGTGTATTCAAGAAAAGAAAATGAAAAACAGAACATTGAACTGACAAAATGAGTGACTCACAGTTCTGTGTCAAACTAAAAATTGTGTTACGCTCATGCACATAAGGAGGCATCAATGGACACTTTCCTCAATCAAAACAAAATCCACCCCTCATACTGAAACTTATTATTTTTTGCCAGCATACTGAAACTTCTAATTATAAAAATCATTATAACAAAAATGACATCAATCTAACACTTATTCCATTTAAATATAGAGATTATCAACTACTTGATTACTTTCTCGCTGTTATATAGAGATTAATACCTCTAAAATTCAAAATATAAGACGTACACCATTTTTATCAGTAAGATTTACACTTTTATTGGTCAGTATAATATATATAACAGAATCTAAAAAAATATGCTAAAAAAATTCATCATTATAATGATACAATGATTAAAACATTTGCACTTCAAAAAGCTTCAAGTCATGAGCCAAACTACCAAGATAGGTTTTATTGTTTGCAAAAGGTCTAAGTTCTTCATGTCCAAATAATGGGAAGATAACCTAAATTTAACAAAATAATGGTTTAAAATATATGGCCCACCTAGCCCTAATGAATTCTTGTGACTAAACTCACCTAAAAGTTTTTTAACCAAAATATATATATATATATATATATGGTGTCTCAACATTTTATGATGAAAAACTATTCACAACCATCAGACAGAAACAATAAAAGATCACAAACCTTTGACTCAAGATACTCACATGAAGACAATATATAATAAAGTAAATAACATTTATAAAATGTCATTAATAAAAACTAATCAATTTCTAAAGCAAGCACATCCCAAATTCATTAAAAATCATAGTAACCACTATCGTTTCCAAGGTCCAAACTATAAAATTGTGTTACGCTCATGCACATAAGGAGGCATCAATGGACACTTTCCTCAATCAAAACAAAAATCCACCCTCATACTGAAACTTATTATTTTTTGCCAGCATACTGAAACTTCTAATTATAAAAATCATATAAACAAAAATGACATCAATCTAACACTTATTCACATTTAAATATAGAGATTATCAACTACTTGATTACTTTCTCGCTGTTATATAGAGATTAATACCTCTAAAATTCAAAATATAAGACGTACACCATTTGTTATCAGTAAGATTTACACTTTTATTGGTCAGTATAAATATATATAACAGAATCTAAAAAAATATGCTAAAAAAATTCATCATTATAATGAACAATGATTAAAAACATTTGCACTTCAAAAAGCTTCAAGTCATGAGCCAAACTACCAAGATAGGTTTTATGTTTGCAAAAGGTCTAAGTTCTTCATGTCCAAATAATGGGAAGATAACCTAAATTTAACAAAATAATGGTTTAAAATATATGGCCCACCTAGCCCTAATGAATTCTTTGACTAAACTCACCTAAAAGTTTTTTAACCAAAATATATATATATATATATATATATGGTGTCTCAACATTTTATGATGAAAAACTATTCACAACCATCAGACAGAAACAATAAAAGATCACAAACCTTTGACTCAAGATACTCCAGGCTTGCTCTTTTGTATACGCTATTTTTTGCACATTCCTGATAATGGAAGAGAATATTCCAGAGGTCAAAGATGGAATAAATAACAAAATAACAGAGTAGGTCTAAGCAAATAAAGAATAAGTAAACACTCATTTATAGGTGAGTAAAATAGTATGCAACAATTTTTGAGTTTTTTTTTGCTTTCACTAAGTATAGTATGCCTTTTTTAAAAATGTAACCATAATTTTGTATCATTACCTCAATAGACGGCAAAAGTAGTGAGCTATAACGGGGATCTCTTCCGAGCATTTGTAAACCTCCGATCACTCCTCTACTCTCCATCCCCATAGCTTTCATTACAATCATAATAGGGACCTTCAAGAGAATTACAAGAAAACACATTACCAAAGCCTACTTATAATATGATAAAGAGTAAAATTAACGTAATTCATTGAGTAACAAAAAATGAAAACCTTTTTAGGAAATTGATTCAATTGCAGCCAAATCTTCTCATTTTCCATCACAACAACTGTTTTGGATTTTATTGCTTCTGTACTGCTTGTAACAGATGCAGTAATGCTGATAGCAAAAGGAGTAAAAATACACATGAAGACAATATATAATAAAGTAAATAACATTTATAAAATCATTATATAAAAACTAATCAATTTCTAAAGCAAGCACATCCCAAATTCATTAAAAAATCATAGTAACCCTATCGTTTCCAAGGTCCAAACTATATTTTTCATCTGGTGCAATAGGATTCTGATAGAGCCCATTATTTTCCTAAGATATAAGAGGAAGCCCAAAGGTGGTAAATGACTCAAGTGGAAATACCTTGACTAGTCCAGACATGATCCTTCAGTCCCTGGCCGTAAGGAACAGTGACTTTTGATTTTGTGTTATGATTAGGATCTTTTGGGCAGTATGGGGGAGTGAAGGCCATGCTGTAAGGATTAATAGTCTTTTTTTTTTGGAGGGAGGCTGGTATGAGAAATATAGAACTGTGAGGAGAGGCTGGCTTCTCGAAAATGCCAGAGGGAGTGAAACTCTTATGTAGATGTCTATGATTTGTGTTGCTGGTGTTACTTTGCATAATCAGGGGAGATAGGTTTTGGCTAGAATCAGAGAGTGTCCTTGTAACTCTGATTCAGCTCTTTCTATTTATTAATATCAAAACCCAGCATTTTCCCATTATATTTATTGCTGCTACTGTCATTTTCCTTGTTCTTTCATGGGTTATTGGATTGGGTCACATTAGATTCCATCTGATTAAAAATTTTCTATATAAATAATTTATCACCAAATGGAAAATAAGATGGAAAACAGTGGAATGTCATCTTGCTAAAATAATCAAAACAAAGGTAGTGGATCATCCTTCAATAAGCCTCTAAGAAACATGAATTAGTATCAATAATTTAATCTATGATATGGAATAAGACACGGTACTAATTAAAACTAACCCTTGAAAAAAAGATTTCATCATAAACAGCTGAACATTGACATTGATAATAAAACTTTCAATACAGTCCCCAATTCAAAGAGAATCCAAGGCTTGAAACTCAATATCATTAAGTCAATTACTATAAGTATCCAAAATAAGATACTACAGACATCACACAAGAGTGCTCGAATTATGCAAGACTGAGAGAGAGAAAAAAGAAGAGAGGATCCAATATCAGAGATTTAGGCATGTTCATATGCATTTAATATAGACATATATGATTATATGACAAGGTAAAGCATAAGGTATGACTAGAATCCAAAAGAACTACTTACTTCCCCTTCTTGTCTGTGTCAATAATTATTCTATTCTTTGAAAGTTGCTCTTGTATCAAAATCACCTGAAAAAAGATTTAGAGCATTAAAGGGGGAAGGGGGAAACAATTAAGAAAAAGAAATAAAAGCATCATTGTTCTAAAGAGTTGAGTTCTTGGAAAAGAAGAGAAGTCATCATTGACGAAGTTAATCAAAACAAACTACAAACAAAAAATATGCTGCCTCATTCACAATTTTCAATTTTACATAATGCAAGAACAGGAATGGAACACACCAATTTATATAGTTTGTGGTACATGGGGCATGGAACATAAATTGTGTGTATGGGAAAGGGGCAAAGTTTGTTGCCTTTTTATACAATAGAGTGAGGAGAGGATCTTTTAAACAGATAAAAGGCTTTGCAAATCCTATGACATGAAGAAGCAATTGAGAAAAAATTTAAAATATCCACCTTCTCTGTCCCTTTGATTACGAAATACCCACCAGGATCAAGAGGACACTCACCTATCCAATGGAATATAGGAGGTGGATTATTGTAAGGAATGCATAAGAGGAAAATGTAAAGGCACAAAAAGTCAAAAAATATCCAAATTATATCTTCTACACATACGAACCAAGTTTTGCAAGTTCAGCTTCATCTTTCCCATGGAGGACGCAGCAAGAACTTCGTAACATGATTGGCATTCTCCCAATAATAACATCATCTGCAAGAAAAAAACAAATACATAAGACTGTAGCTAACTAGACTATGCTAAAGTCATTTATATTGTTTATATACCTTCTCCATTTTAGTCATCTGACCAGGGCTTCCTTCAATATACTCAACATTAACCAATATTGGAGCAGCATATCTTGTGTTAGACAGCAGAAAATGAAGCATTATTCAGTTAGCATTTGACGCAAAGCAAGAGTGAAGTTTTGTCTAGTTATGAGATATAAGTTCCAAATTATCATTCAGTAGAAATTAGTTTATTGCTCCTTTCTTTTACTTGCAACATCATGGAACTCAACAGAACACAATCAAGAACAACCTTGCAAGCAATTAAATTCCAGTGATTGAGAACATAGGACAATGAAAAAGTTTTTAACAAGATAAATCTTACGTCTGGTCAGATAAGCGGCATGTTTGAGGTGTAATTTTCTCAGGACTTCCATCTACTATAATTGAAGGCTCACCAATTCTAACATCCTTAAACCTACAAAAAATCTCATTGCCCATCACTCATAACGAGAGCAAACTAAAGAACACGCCTTCTGAAAACTAAAGAACAAACATATATGAATTGATTCACACAAGGTTACTTTTTTTCACAGCATACCTTAAATATATACCAGGATGCTTTGACGCCACGATACGGTCATTAGCTCGAACTATTTTCTTAATTCCAGTTTTTACAAAATAATTAAAGGAATCCAAGTGCTGTTTCACCAATCCTCTCACCTACAAAACCCCGTATAAAAACACATCACAAGTGATAGCAAATAGCAAAAAGAATCATTGTATAATGCAATGTGTACCTTCAGGAACTCAGGAAGAAGCTGAAATTTGTCAACAGCTGATTTTATAGGTGCAGCAAGAAATTGCTTATCAATACCAGCCCTGAACATTGTAGTGAAAACATACCGAAAATAAGAATTAACTGTAAGCCAGAAGAAATCCAGAAAAAGGAAAGATATGAAGTTAGAATGTACGGTTCATTCCGATTCAAAGCTTCTTCTGATGTCGGATTCAGTCCCATAATCAATCAGTCACAAGGTTGTTCTCTTCTCCTGCGGAAAGAAAAAATTTGTAGTAATGAAAAAACTGCTGCTAGAGAATACGAATCCCAAAAAAAAAAAAAAGAAGAAAAGAAAAAAAACATTCAAGACGCTATGATTGGCCTACTAGGAATAAGTAAGGTTGATCAGCGAGTCCTCGCTCACAATCCTCTTCCAAGTTTTCTGAAGACGCCTTCTCTCAAATTCCGTTACACTGTTGAGTAATTGAGCGGCAGAGGTCCATTAAAACCCTTCTTAAACCCTTCTCTATAATTAAATTCTAGAATTATCACTAATTTTGAAATTTGAGATATTCATTTATAATTTATGACTAAACTAAATAATTCTAAAATTTTACAGATTAATTTGGAATTAAATTTTATCAGTTAATAATCAAAATACCATTTACTTATTTTTTAAAAAAGGTTTCATTATATCATTAAAAAAACCACTTTGTGGGCAGATAGGTAGATGTGAACAAGCATATCAATTATTATATAATTGTTGTTGGAAGAACCTCATTCAAAAACTACTCAAAAAACTCATTCACATGCAAGAACTAATAATAAATTCTATTTTTAAAAAACATGTCCATATTTCTATTTTAATAATAATTCATTATATATTAATCTTTGCTTATAAATAAACTTCTTGAGTAATCCTTAGATGTAATTCTCTCTTGTTAATTTGCTAAAATCTATCATTTGTAATAGGGTAAGTGTATATAAGATTTCTTAGTTAATTAAAACAAAAACTTTTTCTTATCATTTGATTAATAAAAACAAAAAATATATACATAGAATTTTCCTGTTTGATTCCGTTTTTATTTTATTATTTGAAGAATTAGTATTTTATAAAAAACATATTTAAAAACTTGTTTAAATAATTACTCCGGAAAATAATATCTAAAGACTATAAAATATAAAAACTTGTTTAAATAAATCATCTCAAAACATGTTTTAAGAACATAAAAACACAAAAAAAAATGTCCATTTAAACTTGTTATAATTGGTATGATATTTTATTTATTTAATATTATATTGTAAACATGAATTAATTTAATAATAAAATTTGAACAAAGTCACCAATAAATAATATTAGTAACATTGATGATTTAGGAAAAAGTCTCAACAATATAATCAACCCTTCATAACATTGTTCTAAGCAAAGTCTTCAAAATATTAATTAAAAAATTATAAGATTGAATTTAATCAGCAATACTCCTAAAATGATTCTACATCAAAGATCACTTTGTGTTATCATCTTTATTGCACTTTCTTAAGATAATCTTGACAAGTTCTTTAGTTAATAGCCTGTACTTGTGTTTCTATTCATACCTTCTATTAGTAAAGGGAGAATTATGTTGATATATAAGAGAACTAATTACTATAAAGTCTATTAATAATTGAACTAAGAAAATAACAATACAATGTGATTATTCTCCAATTGTTAAATCCTCTACTATTTCAGAATTTACATTCTTCTCCCATTGATGGAATAACATTTCACCATTAGTACATTTGTATTCTAGGATTAATATATAATTTAGACCCTACACCATAGGTCAAAAGACAATTTGAACCAAACTTTTATTTAATACATTATAAACTCTAAACAATTAAAATTAAAGTAATTTTATCCCACCATTAAATTTGAACAAATGGCCATTACTTTTTTAAAAAACAAAGCTTAATATGTGATTTTCACTAAATTCCACTCTCACTCTCTCTCCTATCTCTTTTGAGAAAAATCACACATTAAGTCTCATTTTTTAAAAAAAAAAAAGTTGTTTGTTTAAATTTAACAACGAACACAAAATTGATCTAACTTTAATTATTTATAATTTAGAATGTATTAGATAAAAGTTTGGGGTTTAAATCTCCCCAGAATCCATAATTCAATATTAAAATTGCATATTAATCCTATATACTATTTAATTTAACTATAAATTGTATAATATGTTACCATAGTAAGACGTTGTCTTGAAGGCTCTATGTTAGCAGTAATTTAAAAATTGCAAATTGAGTGTTCAAGACAGCAAAAGAACGTTAAATTGTTTAGAAAATTCTCTATGCTTTGCTTGCAACCTTGAACTTTTATTTGATTTGTTTTAAACTATAGGGCCACCCACATTTAACATTCAACTTCTCTAAAATACTTTTCATACTTCTTGCGAAAACATGCCATTGTTCATAATTGACAATAATGTAGCATTTCAAAACATGCTGAGGCCAAATTAAACTTTCAACATTCTCACTGGCTGTCATTTATAATATGTTAGAAGATGATTTGGTTGTTTGATTTATTAGAAAGTATAGTTGTGGGAATTTGATTCTTAATCAAATCAACAAAATATTTGATTCTTTTGACATTCAATTTAAATTTAAATTGCCATTGAGTATGTGTGCGTTTGGATACACCCACTTTTACATACCAAAAGTAGTTTTCAACTTTTTAAATGTAAAATGTTGTTTGGGTTTTTTTTTTTTAAGATAGGATGTACTTTCAAAAAGAGCTTCCAAATGCATCTGAGATTGAAAAAAGCAAAAGCTCCTTTGTGTTGCTTTTGAAATGTGATTTGTGGCATATGGGCATTTGTGGCTGGTACCTAATATTTGTATTGACCATGATATCCTCCTTTTGTTTAATCTCTCATTCGTGCAACCCGAGCTACCTCACTCATCTGTCATTCTTTGCTGCTCCTCTCATCTTGCTCGACCATCACTCTTCCATCGCTTAGTCGTCTCTTCTCCTTCTCTCCTTTACCTCTCCTCTACCATCTAGTCTAGATCCTAAGCTCCTCCTTCCTTCGTCAACGATCGTCGCATTCCACTGTCTAATTTCTCCTCATCTCTTTCACAGATCGAGCTTGTTTTGGGACTTGGACGACATTTCAGAGTTGAGAAAAACTCAAGACACTTGGATTTGCAACCTGTCGATGCAGAGCTGAACATTCGGACTAACTCCTCAAACTCCAACCCCTTTCTCCAATCTGATCTTTGATCTGCAAGGTATGATAGCCTTTGTAACACCCTCAAATTACAAAACCGATTGTTTGCAAATTTATTAATTCAACAAATCTTTTTTTTTCATTGAACCCTTATCATGGTAGAAAAATTTCTACCATAATACATCCAAGACAATATACCACAGGTCTTAAAATATCTCAAAAAAGCAATTAGAATCATGAGGGACAGAAATGATCCTCATAACATGATATTCAAATCAGATCATAAATCAAGAAGGACAGACATAATCCTCTTGGTCATATAAATACTTTTAATAAAAGGATTAGAGTTTACATGCTTCACAAAAAGATATGTTCTAAGTTGGCACAAGATACATTGTATAATCTAAAATAAGAGGCAACGTAAAAGATGGTGTCTCATACACCATAGTTACACCTCTGGTGCTTTCTCGGCCGGACTCACTCCTGTAAAAATATTAACCACGGGGAATGAGACTTAAAAGTCCCAGTAACCAAAAATTAATATGTAATGATGCATGCGGATGTAACTAATTATGCGATTGCTAAGTGGGCACACAAAACATTTAACCGAACAATATTTTCAAACAAACCGAACAAGTATTTAATTGCATGACTGCACCTTATATCCTCCTTTCACCATGCTCGGACGCCAAAATCACCGGCCAAAGGTGAGTTGGACCAAGCGACACTCCACTTATTGGGTCCAATGAGGGCTTACCACGTGGTAATAATAAACAAAAAGAAATTTCCATTAACACCATACATAAAATACCCTGACAAGTCATGCATCATTCAAATATCCAAACAGGAATATATCCGAACAATAATATCTCATCATGATAAACAAAGATAAATTTTAACCCACTTGGCAATAATTTCAAACAAGTATATACAGTATTTATTTTTAATAATTCATAATTTTTCCAAACAACAAAACAACACATAACCATTCACAACACACTTCATCACAACACATTAATAATGGTTACCTTGTGTCTTGAATAACAAGTTCCCCTTCACAACTCCTTTTTCACCACTATCTTTGTCAATATAATCTACATAATTATTTCACAATACTATATATTAATTTTACATTAAAATAAATAACTCTAATTTAAAGAATTAGAAAGTCTTAGATCTATAATCCATATTAATACTAATTTAAGATTTATGCCTCATTTAACTTCTCAAATTCTTTTTCTAAAATTCTCGTACCCTAATAAACTATTTTTTATCCTCAAATCACTTCTAGTATCACAATTTCATCCTTCTAATTCTAAAATTCATCCAAAAAAATTAAAAATTTTAAAATTATCCTGAAGCCTCAAATCACCTTTCTATAACCTCAAAAATACCTATTCATACTTAAATAAATATTTAATAATCATAGGTTTATTCTTACATCTCAGATTCCACATAAATTCAACCATATAGATCTAGATTTTAACTTAAAAATTCTTAAACATGAGTTTCAACCTCAAGAAAATATTCTATAATATTTATTATATCCCTAAGAGTTTTAACCTATATTTTTAATCCATCATATCATCAGATTAACTATCCTATAGAAAAAAAAAATCCTAATCAGAATATTTACTCTATCTTATAAAATAATCATATCACTAGAAAGCTAATGTATTTAAAAAATAACTATAAAATTAATTTTGTAATTAAATAAATTTTAAATGCTAATCTAAACAGGAAAGTTAGAACATACCTGAAGAAAAAGAAAATAATCCCCCTTGCGAGAAAAACGCCGAGCAACGTGAGAGGAAGAGAGAAAAATAATATAAAAATGGGATTGTGGTCCCAAAATTATATTAAAAAAAAACTATAGGTTCGAATTTAATTATTCAAACCTTTGGCCAAAAGTCACAATTTCCTCTAAATTACATCTTAGCCTCTCATGTTTCCTAATGCACACACCCCCTCCTTTTTATACATGAAGGTACCTCTTCTCTTCCCTCATCTAACCAATGTGGGATTTAGAAACAACAACCTTCCACCCCCCCTTTTTTTGTTCCTTCTACCTTCTCTTTTTTTTTAACACACAATAAAAAATTATTTATGTATTATATCTTAACTAAATATTGCTTATGTGATTTTAAATTTAAATTTTTAAATTTATAATTAAATACCTAACCATAATATCATTTCTAAATAACCTCAAATAATATAAATTCCTATTATTATCATTTTTTTTCCTCAAAACCTAAATTCCACAATTTTTTTATTATATAAAAATCAGGAGGTTACAGCCTTCAAGCATTTTTTGTCAAATCTGAAAATGATAGTC